GGTTCCAGTGCCAGGAAGAGAAGTCCCCATAACTTCTGGCTGGAAAAACCAGCGGAAACTGAGGCTCAGGGAAGCTGACGCGGCGGGAGCCCCAGGCAGCTCCCTAAAGGGCCCGCGCATGGACTTATCGGACTCTCTCCCACTAAGCTCGGAGGGGAGGCAGCTCGAGGGGCACCAGAGACATACAGGGAAGAACTGAGCTGTTTGGCACTGGAGCGAGGGCTGGAGGGGGGCTTTCTCGGGGACAAACGTGCTGTAAGAGGCCTTTGTTCCTTTGGTGAGCCCTTCCCCGGGGGCGGCAGACAGCAGCCATATCTGGGACTCCAGCAACCTGGCTCACACTGGTAGCCCCGCCCTGGTGGCTCCCTGAGGCCCCGCCCCACCCCACCCAACTTTCAGGCCCACCCAAGCTGTTGCCACTTGCTTAACCATAGGATTGACCTGTCTTGGATCCTGCTTCAGGTTTTTCCTAAATTCTTTCAAACGAGCAGCATTGGGTCTCAGCGAGCACCATACCTCTCATTAAGTAATACACTGAAACAAACACAGGGAGGCAGCCAAAATGAGGAGACAAAGAAACAGGTCCCAAATGAAAGAACAGAACAAAACCCCAATAAAAGAACTAAGTGAAAGGGAGATAAGCAACCTAACAGATACTGAGTTCAAAATACTGCTTATAAGGATGCTCAATGAACTTAGTGAGAACCTCAGTGAACTTAGGGAGGGCCTCAAGAGCATAAAAAAGGACCAGTTAGAAATCATGGATACACAGTTAGAATTGAAGGAGGCATTAACTGAAATAAAGAATAATTTACACAGCTGCAATAATAGAGTACGTAAATCCAAGGAGCAAACCATCGATTTGGAATATAAGGAAGCAAAAAATCCCCAATCAGAACAGCAAAAAGAAAAAAGAATCCAAAAAAATGAGGATAGTGTAAGGAGCCTCTGGGACAACTTCAAGCGTGCCAACATTCACATCTTGGGGGTGCCGGAAGGAGAAGAGAGAGAACAAGAAATCGAAAACCTGTTTGAAACAATAGTGGCAGAAAACTTCCCTAACTTGGTGAAGGAAACAGACATACAAGTCCAGGAAGCACAGAGAGTCCCAAACAAGATGAACCCCAAGACACATCATCATCAAAATGCAAAAGGTTCAAGACAAAGAGAGAATCTTAAAAGCAGCAAGAGAAAGGCAGCTAGTTACCTACAAGGGAGTTCCCATTAGGCTGTCAGCTGATTTCTCAAAAGAAACTTTGCAGGCCAGAAGGGAGTGGCAAGAAATATTCAGAGTGATGAAAACCAAGAACCTACAACCAAAATTACTCTATCCTGCAAAGCTGTCATTTAGAATCGATGGACATACAAAAACTTTCCCAGACAAGAAAAAGTTAAAGGAGTTCATCACTACCAAACCGTTATTATATGAAATGATGAAGGGTCTTTTTGAAGAAAAAGATAAAATGTATGAACAAACAAAATGGCAATGAATACATATCTATCATCAATGGAATCTACAAACAAAATGAACAGGTAGAACAGAAACAATCTCATAGATACAAAGAACATTTTGTTGGTTGCCAGTTGGGAAGGGGCTTGGGGGAATGGGTGAAAAAGGTGAAGGGATTAAGAAGCACAAATTCATTGCTAGTCTGACAAACCTCAAAGGGAAAGGGGTTGGGGGGGTGGGAAGAAATAAACCAAAAAACTTATATGCATAACCAATGGACACAGACAATAGTGTGGGAAAAGGTGGGAGGGGGGCGGGAGTGGGGAGGAGGGGGTCAGTGGGGGAAAAAATGTGGAACATCTGTAATACATTTTACATCCAACAATAAAGATTTGGGAAAAAAACAAAAAAAATGGGCAGAGGACCTGAATAGACACCTCTCCAAACAGGACATACAAATGGCCAAGAGTCATATGAAAAAAATGCTCAACATCTCTAATCATCAGAGAGATTCAAATTAAAATGATTATGAGATATCACCTCACACCTGCCAGAATGACTACCATCAACAAATCCTCAAACAAGTGTTGGTGAGGGTGTGGAGAAAAGGGGACTCTAGCACACTGCTGGTGGGAATCCAGAATGGTGTAGCCACTATAAAAAACAATATGATGTTTCCTCAAAAAATTAAAAATGGAACTGCCATTTGACTCAGTGATCCCACTTCCTGGAATATATCCTTAGAAGCCTGAAACACCAAGCAGGAAGAATATATGTACCCCATGTTCATAGCAGCACTATTTATAATAGCTAAGATCTGGAAACAGCCCAAGTGGCTGTCAGTAGATTAGTAGTACATTTACCCAGTGAAGTACTGTGCAGCTGTAAGAAAGAAAGAAAGATCTCTTACCCTTTGAGATGACATGAAGGGACTTGGAGAATATTATGCTGAGTGAAATAAGCCAATCAGAGAAAGGCAAGTATCACATGATCTCACCTATTTATGAAACATAATGAACAAAATAAACTATCAACCAAGAGATCCAGAGTCATGTAAGTAGGGAACAGACTAACAAATCTCAGAGGGATAGGGTGTGGGAGAGGAGGAAAGAGATAAACCAAAGAATTTATATACATTTATGCACAACCAATGGACACAGACATTAGGTTGGAGAGAGCAGGAGGGTGCTGGGAGTGGGAAAAAGGGGGTCAATGGGGAAAAAAGAAGGACATCTATAATATCTTCAACAGTTAAAAAAAATATATGTATAGTATTTTCCTGATTGATTCACTAATGTTTGTTGTCCCTCAAATCTATAAGTTCCAAAAGAGAAGGAATTGTGTACATTTTTCCTCACCATTGACTCACCAATATCCAACATAGTTAAATAAATGAATGAATAAAATGCTGCTGATTTGATTACATTTTTTAAAAAAGAGGAGAGAGTGTTTTTTAAGACAATGTTGTGCACAAAATAAAATACTGGCTAATCCCAAACTAGATAGCACAAAATAGCTATTAGCACTCAGTTCAGGTTCTTGAATAAAAATAATAAGTAGAAGCACAAAAGTTAATCTAACACACACACACACACACACACACACACACACACACACACACACTCAGAATGTCTTGCTCCTGCAGCTTTGCTGTGACAAGTCTCAGATGACTCATCTTCCCAGGGTAATCCCCAGTCAAGCCTATTTTATATCATCAAACATTGATAAACATTATAAAAGGTGCTTAACTTCTGGCATCTTAGTTTTAAAACTCTAAGAGGTGAATAATTAGTCAACCAAGTAAGTCTTTTTTTAAATTTCTTATCCTCACCTGAGAATATGTTTCCATTGGTTTTTCACATAGAGTGTGAGAGAGGGAGAGAAAGAAAGAGAGGAAAACATCGATGAGAGAGAGAGAGAGAGAGAGAGAGAGAGAAGGAGAAACATCATTATGAGAGAGTCACATTGTTTGGTTGCTTCCTGCACGACCCTGACCAGGGCCAGGTATTGAACTTGAAACTGAGATATGTGGCCTTGACTGGAACTCAAACCCTCGAGTCTTTGGTCCACGGGCTGACGCTCTAAATGTTGAGCCAAACTGACCAGGGATAAGTCTTTTTTTTTTTTTGCTCTTAGAAATAACCAATAAAAATTAATCCTAGGAAGATGACAAATAAGAAATAAAGTTTGATGGGACATAATCTACTGGAACTCATTCAGAACTGTGAAGTGAGTAATGTCTGTCACTGCTGTCTCCCAATTTTCCTTCTGTAGCTTTTTAAAAAATTAATCAGGTGGACCATGCTCACTGGGCTCGCCACTCCTCTCAGCTATCAATCAACCCTTTCAATAATTTGATAAACTCACTTATTCCAAGTGCAGATGGCAGATGAGTCAATCCCAGAAATATTTCTCTTAAACATATACTGTATGACTCCACTTACACGCAGTTTTTTAAGTAGTCAAATAGACATAGAAAGTAGTTGGTGGTTGCCAGGGACTGGGTGGAGGGAGGATGAGGGGTTGTTGTTTGATGTGTTTAGTTTAGTTTTACAAGATGAAAATTGTCTGCAGACTTACTGTACAACAATGTGAATATACTTGACACCACTGGACTATGTACTTGAACATGGTGAAGACGGGGAGTTCTATACTACATGAATTTTACCTCGATTAAAAAAATCAGCACCAAATCTGCAGTGGGTGCTCAATAAATGTGTCTAAAATCCCAAAGGCCCCATTTCACACATTAACAATGAGAGGAAAATCACAAAAGAGAGCATGCCCTGTCAACACAACTGGACAGACAGATTAACAATGGGCTGTCGACGAGCAAAGAGCAAACATTTATAATTTGGGATGCATTTTAATTACTTTCACCTAAGGCCTATAACATTATTTTATTATAAAACATAAGGAGTGGAGAGGAAGTCTCAGCCTTAATTGGAGGCCATATCAGAAATAATAAATCTGGTTTACAATATTCCCATTAGCAATGAAAAAATTTCAATTCTGCACGGAAGCACCCGCTGTATGAGGCTCCAGACACATTGACTGAGCTATGTGATTAGTAGTCAATTCACAAGGCGGGCAGAGCTCAATGCAGGGACATGTCCAGGCAGGAAAGACACAAGAAGGACATGATAGAGTCTGGGCCCTCTGGAGCTGACAACTCATTTGGGAGCAGGACCTAGATCCTAGATACACATACACACACACACACACACACACACACACACACACACACACACACACACAGGCATCAGGCATCAGGCATCACTCAGGAGTAGGCACAATGAATGACTGGATATACAAAACTGAATATACAGCTGAAGAGTGGTGTCAAAGCTGTTTCTCACAGATACTTCTTATTCCAAGGGGGTTGTCCCTAAATCGAAAACTTCTCAACTCTCTTAAAAGTTGTGACACAAAAATCCCAGGTCTAGTGGAAAAATCATGGTTTTCCAAAGCCAAACCTACTTTTTGATCACTTTCTAGAATTGACATCAGCAAAAGAGAAACAAAGGCAACTCTTTGAAAACAAGATTACCTTATAGTTAAAATAGAGCCATCCTTTGGGACACGTGCCATGTCGTTTTGGTGTATCTTTCTCTTTCTCAACGGGCCAGAACTTCTTTCGCTTACAGATGCTAGGCATGGAAACTGAACACTCTTCACTAGCCCAGCGTCCTGGAGGGGAAAGGGTTAGACACGACTAGAAACAATGGTGACTTTTTGTAGGCATTCTCTATGGAGCACTACTTTTATGAAGGTCACAGTTTATCTTTTTTTTTTTTAAATCTAGAAATTGAACTAAATTTAACTACAAATGATTGAGTTCTCTAGTGACAAAAGCTATCTGGGCAAGGTGCAAAATCAGAAATTCTAATTCAGTAATGCAAATGCAAAAAAAAAAAAATTTGAACAAATACTGCATTGAAATAAAAGAACTGATTAAAGTTCTAAGAATATTTGACTTGGTTAAGGAAAATAATATTTTGTAATGTTTTTGTTTTATTTTATTATTAAAACATTTTTTTCTTTATTAATTTTAGAGAGAGAGAAAGAGAGAGGGAGAGAGATAGGGACATTGATGAGACAGGACATCAACTGGCCGCCTCCTGCATGCCCCCCACTTGGGGATTTGGCCCATAACCTGGGCATGTGCCCTGACCGACTGGTGACCTCTCGGTGCATGGGTCAACGCTCAACTACTGAGCAACACTGACCGGGCAATGTTTTTGTTTAAAAATATTCAACTTCACTGTAAAGAAAGAAAAAGGATTCTAAAATAATAGATGATTGTTTCTATTTTATAATTCCTTTGAAAATATAGTAATTTAGAAAAATTAACATACAAACTTCTAAGAAAGGAGCACTTCTTAATGCTGACCCTTAAACAAACAGACACACGTATAGACATGCCTTCAGGAAATATATCCCAAAGTCCTAGCCTTCTGGAAAACATCTTTGAATTTAGAAGAGCTATATTTTCAGAGATGATAGAATGCATTTCATTAGCATTCAAGTTATAATTTCAGCACAGGGCAAGGATGCATGTAAATGGCAAGGGCAGATTCAGTTTTCTAGAATGAGGGATATGAGCCAAAAACGTGTTGGCATTTTGAAGGAGGGGCTGGAATGCTATTTTTAATGCAGATTAGCTGGTATTCCTCCAGAATCACAAACCAGCCTTTCTGTAGGCTGTTGTGACACCTGCTGGCAAAAGGGAGCTGATTAACCACATAGGTTTTCTCTTCCTGACTTTCTCTGTAGATGCCCTTGCATCAAGGATGCTCTCCATGTTCACCCTGCTCCTGACCTGGGGCACAGGTTTGTTATGAATCTGTTGGAGTAGGGAACGTCATTACCTTTCATTGGAAAGAAAGAGTGGGTGGATATGAATAGACAATCAACCCTCCAAAAAGCACTTGTACGGATGAGTAGAATTAAAAAAATCCGTGTTCAATATACATGTACTTGTAACTCCCAGTTACAAACAGTTGGTGTTCTAAGTCAAGCAGCAACCAATAGTAGGTATTTAAAAAAAAGAAAAAAGAATACTGAATTCAATGAAATTTTTTTCTTAAATGGGAAATTGGAAGTAAATTTCCCAGAGGTTAAATATCTGGCCAATTATAAATTGGATACTAGGAAGAGATGTAAAAAATGGGCTCATATTGAAATTTTATAGTGAATGGTATTTGGCAGATATATTTTTGACCAGTTTCAAAGGACCTTTTTTTGATGCTGTTTTAGTTCTTGAGGAAGGACTTATCTGGATGTAAATTAATTTCAAGAACATGAATTCATGGGATAAACAGAGGAATGGCCATTCTTAAACCTTAAGATGATGAAATTGAACACATTCAATTCAAAAGCAAAATAACCAAAGAAAACGTTCTCGCTGAGCTAATGCAATGAAAAGGAGATTTCAAGCCTCCTGAAAATGATCAGTTTGAATTTTCCAAAATAGATGAATAGAAAACCTGTTATGGAGGAAATGAAGCCACATCTCTGGCTCTGATTATTCATAGCTCCTTCTCTTCCTTTGTCCCAGTTCTGGTATATTACTGGTGCCCCATCTCTCCAGCTGCAGGAAAATAAAAAATGTTAAGGTCTTCTCTCATTCTGCATGTTCAATCTTCAACAGCATTCTTGGTGTATTGGGGTATGGATTGAAGGTATAATATTTTATTAAATAAAAAAAAAAATACTCATGTCTTGGGTCAGGGAAATGAAAATTGATAAGCTAAAGATAATGTTTGAAGGCTACTCAACAAATTGATCACTGAGATCTAGTCCAATCACTCTGATAATAAAACCTGTCAAATAAAATTAAATGCCAGTTAATCTAGGTCCATACCGAAATTCACCATTAGCTCTTTCTTCTTGAAGTCCAATCCACCAATTTACACCAAACTTTGATAGCTATTTAAAAAGAAAAAAAAAGTCAGCATTTATTCTTTTTGTTTTCCCTTTTCATTATTAAGATTAATGGGGTTGCTGTTAATAGCTTTCTATTCTTCAGTATTTTACCCAATTATTAAAGTAGACTACACTAAGGCCCAGAATCTTGAGAAAACCTGAAACTTCATTATTCTAAAATATTCTCTCCTCATTATGAAGGAAAATTAGAATAAATATTGAAAATAATTTTAATTTCACACAATATGCAATATCTTTCTTATAACTTTCCCTATGTATTTAAAAGTAAATTTTCTCTTATAATAGGGTTTTTAAAAGTAATATTGTAAAGTAAAACACAGTGTGGATTTCTTTTTTACTAAGAATGCTCAGTGATTTATAGTAGCTCATTGTACATGTTACTGTATTTGGAAAACAATTCACAGCAGAAAGACATCTTTCACAGTAGAAAGATTTGAGTTTTAGAGATTGGTCTGGTAAGCTGAGTAGTAGCACCTTCTCCTCTCTAATCGAATAGTCAACACAATATCAGACAAAAGAATACTACAGAATTCCTGTGTTTGACAACTAAAACGTCAGCGTTTATGTGTTTTATTAATTTTACACTATTATTTATCACACAGATCTCAGTACAATAAGGTATAAAATCCAAACCCACACGTGCACGCACACATATGCACACAAACACATTAGAACAGACGTAGCACTGGACCTATGAAATTCCCTCCTCAACTATAAAAGTGGAAGAGGCAGTAAGGATTTCCCTAAAATGCCTGAATCAATATACTTTATTGTTTGTGTGCTGTGTGAGTAAAATGCAACTCAACTTTTTATGCTAAAAACTTATTTTGAAGGCATTATATATTTAAACTCGCACTTCCATTTTTTTGGTAAAGACTTGAGAATACATGTCAAGACATAAATATATATTTCCATATGAATTTCAGAAGGTCATGAAACAAAACCCTGTAGCTCTCTAACATTCTAACTGATGAACAGGTATTTTTACTCCTTAAACAGGGTGGCTGTCTGCCATATCAGCGATTTGAGAACAATGGGAGATGGAGCAACTATAATTTTGTATCCCCAAGGTGTTGTTTCATGAACGTGTGCTTACACACTGAATTTAGATTCCCATCGTCAGACCTTGGAATGGGCCCACTGAGACTGGCTATGAACTTGGTGGGAGAAGCACAGCGATTTCATTCAATCGAAAGAGGTCTTACGCGCAGCAATAGTGGAAATCATGGCCTGATTGTTCGCTGTGCCTATTAAGGACCTTTAAGGAGAAATGATAACTACTGCATCTTAAGTGGCATATTTAGTACCACCTCTATAATAGCATGGTGATCCCCACATGGCACATCATAACCTGTTGTGATATGAAACAGAACTTCACAGGACACACTAGAAGATACCCAGAGTGAAAAATCCAATATAAAAGATGGTTGTTCTTTATATGCATGTATGCATGAACAATGAACATGGACAACAAAGCTGGGGACATGGCAGGGAGAGAGGGGGAGGGAGGAATCAGTGGGGGAAAAAGGAGAAACATCTGTAACAAAAATTAATTAATAAAAAAAAAAGAAAAAGATGGTTCTAAATTTTAGCATAGGTATAAAAACCACAACAATAGAAGACATGAATATTCTTTGTGTAGAAGAATATTAAAAATGTGATATGCCCATGGATTTTATAATACCAATTATGTTTTATTACAGACAACAGCCATTCTAGATAGCATCATATGGGAAGAACACTTACCAAAAATAAAGAAAACACATTAATCACTAAATGACATAAGGAAGAACGACCCATCATCTCTTAAACTGTCTCCCTAAAAATAGCAAAACCAAGTAATTTAAGGGTTTAAAGCACATGCTTTTAGAAAATGACTAATAACTTTGATATATTTTTTGTTAGAAATATTTAGAAATAAAATTTTAAAAATAAGAGTAAAACAAAATTTCAAAATGCAAATATTGTCCAGCGCAACATAAAAATGTTAGTCTGAAGAACACATTGGCTAGTAGTTCATGTCAAAGAACTCCTAAAGAGCTTGTAGCTTTTTACTTTTTGGGGGCATTGATCTGACAAACAAGATGGTTCAAAAAACAGGTACTCAAAAATTCACTCTCATTACACCTTGTGGTCTTCTGTTATTCAAAGAGAAAATACTGACTCATCGGTTTTCCAAGATGGACATACTTCGTTAAAAAAAATTCTGCTTCAGATTTTTAAAATTGTGTCCAACTTTCTTTTTCAATAGTTAGTTCTTCTTCCCAACTAAAAGTTATTTTTGTTTTTCACATTTCTAAGTTACTAACTCTTCATAGCGGACCTATACAATGCATATGCAATTAAAAAGAACATTTAATGACTTGTTCTGATTCTTCCTATATTTATAGGTTAGTTGTGCCACCAAAGTGGGTAGTATGACCTCTACATGTTTAGTTCTTCATCCTGGAATAAAATAACTTCTGGACTGATTCATTCCAGTAAGATGTTTTTAGATATGGAATTTCTTACTTATGAAATGGAAATGGTCAGCATAAATATCACCACTACCACCACCAAAAAGTGCCTAACACGGCCACAGATTACACAGAAATAAAAATTGCTTTAGAAATCTACAGCTTGGTTTTTTCTAAATTGATGCCCTTCCCACTTGGCCCACTTGCCCCTGTCTTAGTCTCCACATCCTAGAGCATCACAAGAACTTTACTTTGTAGCACAATGCCACATTAGATCAGTCAGCTGCTCGCCCATAATACTGACAAGGCAACTTTAAAAAAAAATTTAATCCTCACCCAAGGATATTTTTCCATTTATCTTCAGATAGAGTAGGAGGGAGAGAGGGAAAGGAAGAGAGAGAGAGAGAGAGAGAAAGAGAGACAGAGACAGAGAAGAGAAAGACACATCAATGTGAGAGAGACATCGATTGGCTGCCTCCCACACAAACCCCAAATGAACCCGAGATTCTGGTCTGTGGACCAATGCTCTAACCGCTAAGCCAAACCGGCCGGGGCTGAAAGGGCATTCATTCTGTATTAACATCATCACAAGTTGGGTAACAATTTTGCCATATAAGAGACACCACAGGATTGTTTGGTTTGTAATCATGACAAGATCTAGTCTTCAGTAAGATCATGGAATTGACTTTGACTTCTGAAACTGCTAAACCTATGGGTTTACTATTCCCTGTATGGAAGGTATTAACTTCGCCATCCCTACTGCTTCCCAGCCACAGAAGACTGGGAGAGAGAAATAAGGGAAGGTTGAAGAGAGAAGACCTGCAGATGTTCCCAGGAGAGCTAAACCGTTGGAATGATCAGAGAAGCCCTTCATTGTTCACGTCTGAGAGAGAGCGGGTGCCACCTTCTGGGGGAGGGTTTTAGAACTAGCATGTTAATATAAAGGAGACACTGTGCTCTCATATATCCCTGATGCTTCTATTTTGCTGCCAGCAAAGGGTTTTTGTTTGTTTATTTTTAAAGATATTGTAGGTCAGATGGCCTGGGTTCACTTCCAAATTCCACCACTTAACGGCTGTGTTACCACGTTGCTTCACCTCCGTGGAGTCTTAGCTTCCTCATCCGTACAATGTACTAATAACACTTCCCACAGAGAGTTCTTCAAAGATAAAATGCCATTAAGCGTTAGTACTCAGCACAATGCCCGCCACTGTTACAATCAGTATTGGCCAAATACAAGCTCCGTATGGTCTGTGCACTCTGCTATGTTGATAGATTGGTTTTCAGCCATTCATCTGATGTTTTGTTATTGCCACCTGGGTGAAGAGTCTGCTGTCTAGCTAAAGAAAAACATATTTTCTGACATCACAATATGTAATCTATTGATATTAACGTTACGGTTTGGCTTGAGTGTTCTCTTTGCAGTAGCGGAGGGGATAAAATGCGTTGACTGCCACCCAGCCTCCATGGGACCGTGGGGCTGTCACTTAACCCCACGTCTCAGTTTTCCATGGGAATTCAGTAGTAGTCCTGACCTGCCTGAACCTCACAGGCGATGTTGGCATCACACAGGGTGACAGAAGTGGGAAAGCCCCATGAGCCGAGAGGGGGCCATTTCTCTTACAAGTAAGAACACTTCAATACAGAGCTTCATTTAAAAAGTCAATCGACAAACATAAAAACATGATGGAATGATAAAGGTTTCCTGGAGATCATGAAATAATGTTAAATTATAAAAAGAAAAAAAGAGGCTTTGTCTTACTTTCAAGGATTTCCTAGGGAACACTGGGAGTGAGGTTTTCCGCCCTTTGAAACCCTGGTGATTTGTACATACTACTCCTGTCTACTTACTACATCGTGTGAGTTCCAGCTTTAAAAAAAAAAAAAAAAAAGCCCTGGCCGATTTGGCTCAGCAGTTAGAGCGTCGGCCTGTGGTCCAGAGAGACCCGGATTCGGTTCCCGCTAAGGGCGCGTACCTCGGTTGCAGTTTGTCCCCGGCCCTGGTTGGTTGTGCGGGTGCCAGCCACTCGATGTGTCCCTTCACGTCGATGTTTCTTTCCCTCTCTCTCCCTCCCACTCTATCTGAACAAAAAATGAAAAAATGTCCTCGGGTGAGGATAAAAAAAAAAAAATTTGTGTCCTTCACATTGTCTTTTTTTTTATCCTCATCCGAGGACATTTTTTCCATTTTTGTTCAGATAGAGTGGGAGGGAGAGAGAGGAAGAGAGAGAGAAACATCGAGGTGAAAGGGACACATCGGGTGGCTGCTTCCCTCATGACCCAACCAGGGCCGGGGACAAACTGCAACCGAGGTACATGCCCTTAACAGAAACCGAACCCGGGTCTCTCTGGACTGCAGGCTGATGCTCTAACCGCTGAGCCAAACTGGCCAGGGCAGTGTCCTTCACATTTTTGTGTCTTTGACAAATATCACAATGCGTGACACATACCCATTGCTCCATAAATACTTGTTAAAGAAATACAGTGAAAATGTACTTTAATCCCTGGTGGTCTATTTCATTATTTAACAGGTTCCACATGCTTATTTCTCACTAGCCTAGCTCCTCAAAAGAGTAAGTCTAGTCTTTTTCTATCTTTAGTTGAAATGGAAAACCACTACTGCTCAGCCGGTGTGGTTCAGTGGATTGAGCGTTGTCCCATGGACTGAGAGATCTCGGTTTGATTCCCAGGTTGTGGGCTCAGTGGATCCCAGTGGGGAGGGAGGGTGTAGGAGGCAACCAATTAATGTTTCTCTCTCACATTGATGTTTCTATCTCTCTCCCTTCCTCTCTCTCTCTAAAAAAATCAATAAAAACATATTTTAAAAAAAAGCGGAAAACCACTCCTTAGCCATTTTCTGTATATTGAGTCTTTACAAACTTAAAAATATTGTAATCTTGTAAGTAAAAATATTATATTCTTGTAATGGTAAAACAGCCAGGCATCCCCCAGATACCCCTTGTCCCTTGTTTGTGCTTTATTTTTCTCCATGCCATTTATCCACTCATTTTTTTTCTAAAATACTGTGTAATTCTATTTACTTGTAGTATTGATTATGATCTTTCTTCCCAGACTAGACTGTAATCTCTAAGAGGACAGGAGTTTTGGTCTGTTTTAATCACTGATAGAGCCTGAATTCCTAGAAGAGTAGACTCAATAAATATGTGTGGAATGTTTGAATGAACTTCATAAAAGCAACACAACTCTACTTACTCATTATTGTTACTAGTGAAGAACGAAAGAAGTGAAATGACAGATCAACACAGTAAACCTATGTTTCCATCCCCCCGCCGCTTTTTTTTTTTTGGTACATGCCCCTAGCCACTAGGTCTAGTGGGAACTGAACCCGGGACTCTGTGGTCTGCAGGCCGAGCTCCAACTGCTGAGCCAAACTGGCCAGGGCTCCATTTCCTTCTCTTAATCTCTATAACAGAAAAAACCAATTCTCAAAAATCTATGGCTTTTAATGAAACTTAAATGTCTGAAGTAAGATTAAAAAAAAAAAAAAATCCCCCAAGGACAGAAGGAGCTAGTTCTAAATTTCTCATGGTTAGTTGCATTCAAGTACCATTCTTATTTTGCTGTGGATGAATTCTTGCTCATGTGCAGAATTAATTGTGAGAAGATCACTGTGCAGCCAGCCACAGACAAACTCGAAGGTGGACCATTCTGAGGCATAAGTATGAAAAAGGTACTCTGCATCCTGATAAAAGAGCCAGGGTGCATCTGAAAAGCAAATAAACAATGCAAATAATGCAAAAAAGTATTGAGCAATATAGTGCAGACTTAAATAGCATAGGCTATGGTGGACCCCAAATTTGAAATTTGGTCAGTTAGCATTGAAAAAAAAAAAAATGTGTGTGTAAGTATATTTATACACATAAATAAATATATAACTTGCTCATTTTCCTTGGTCTGTCTCACATGAGAAACCTTCATTTGTATCCAAAGTTCTGAGACAGACACAGATTTCAAAATCATGTGTCACGGAAATGGAGTTAAGCTATGATATTGGTCTTTTAATCATATTTAATGACATTAATCAATTTTCTTATTATTAGTTATTTGTTAATTTGAACAAATTTGTTCTAGATTGACATAAGAAAAGAGGCTTGATTGGAGAACTGTGATGGTATATAATAGCACATAATTAGAAGTTCAAGAACTGCTGGATAGTTCTTACCGTATTGGTACCAGGGTGGAATCTTGGGTCTCACATCTGCAAAGTGAAAGCAAACCACCTTGAGCAACCTTTCTTCACAGATGTGCTCTCTCTGAATTACTTCAGCTCTAAACACAATATTTTGTACTTCGCCTTTTAAAAGATCATTTAAAAACCAAGTACTTCATGCTGTTTGAAATATGGTTAGTTCTCATACTTAAGGAGGAGGCTCTGATTAAAGGAAGGACGTGAACACTTGTTGAGGGCCTACTGTGTGTCACACACTGCTAGGTGCTTACTCATTTGACAAGTAATTTTGCTTGCTTGTAATGTCACCATGACATTTCTTCCAGGCTGTACTCACACAATACAGTACGATGTAGTCAGTTATCCTCATTTCCCACAAACTGACTTAGTGTTCTGCGCTAGGGCCATCTTTTATTAATTTTTTTATTTTTATTTTTAGCCTCACCTGAGGACATTTTTTTTCGTTTTTTGTTCAGATAGAGTGGGAGGGAGAGAGAGAAAGAGAGAGAAAAACATCGACGTGAAAGGGACACATGGAGTGGCTGCCACCCGCACAACCCAACCAGGGCCGGGGACAAACTGCAACTGAGGTACATGCCCTTAGCGGGAACCGAACCCGGGTCTCTCTGGACCGCAGGCCAACGCTCTAACCGCTGAGCCAAACCGGCCAGGGCTAGGGTCATCTTTATTCATTCTCCTGCGATACGTTCTCTGCTAAAATAGTGCAGTTTGGTTCATCATGAAGGTTGTTGGTTGTGATCCAAGATGCTTGCATTTTAGATCCCTGTAACTCTTCACTTGGAAAAATGCTTTCAAGTATTAGAAAGAAAACATATAGTAAAGAGCTTATTAATATTTTTACCTCTTGGAATTTTGCATATCCATTCACGTTTGGAACCACAGTGCGAGGGCAGCAATGTTTTGTTTGCTTTATAAACAGCACAATTTCGTGTGTCATCTCCAAAGTAAGTATTGTCTAAAAATGAAGAGACAACCTGCAACAGATGAAGTTCATTATTCCTTAACGACAATTCCCTCGCAAAAAGTTTCCAAAGATCATACAAGGCACCCTTGTAAATAAACTGTGATAGACTTCCGGAGGAAGCTTCAGAAATCTCTGGATGTGATTCCAGTTAAAGGCAGTTCCCCATTTGTGAAGAACAAGCTAATCCAATTTCAGCATTTTTCCTTAAAGACACTTTTTGTCTTAAAAAGAGTCACGCTACTCCTTTCTCCAGAGAAACAAGGGGACGGATGCTTCCTTCTGAACCCACCCTGCTCCCGCACTCGCAGGACGGGCCGCCCTGGGATCCTCAGCAAACTTCTTAGGGGCTCAGGGACTTGTCAGACTGGGGTCTCACTTTTGATATAGATTCTTTTGTATAGACACTAAGCTTTTAGCTTCTACTTGCTAAATCCTAAGTCACCACTAGCTTTAATCAGAACATTATCTGGCATGCTCCATGAATTATCACACAACAGGGGTATTCAATTAGCATTCAACTTGCTCAATAATTTAATGACTATGTAACAGAAGAGTGGATGGACCGCAAGTAAAATTAGGGTAAAAATTTGGGAAAAAGAGCATGGTTTGAAATTATTTGTATCCCTCTTCAAACATGTCAGGCAACAACTCATCTAACTTCCACATATGCAAGCTCCAACTCAGAGAATAGCAAGTTGGAATACTTATTTTATCTAGTGGATGAGGAACTCAGTGCCCTGCTTCCTGGCTTTAACTCCTTTGTACTGAACCAAATGATCTATCCCTCTTCTATTACTAATGAGTTTGTTTTACTAAAACGAAATGGAACGTTCTCAATCCCTACGTACCACACGTCATCAAGTGCTATATTGACGCTAACCACCCAACTCTGCCATGTGCTGGCAGGTCAACCCTGTTATGCTCCTGCCTTCTGGGCCTCTGTTCTTCATCAGAAAACTAGAGGAGTGGGGCTGGGTGATCTTTTTTTAAAAAATATGTTTTTATTGATTTTTTTCTTTTTAAGAGAGAGAGGAAGGGAAAGAGAGATAGAAACATCAACGTGAGAGAGAAGCTTCGATCGGCTGCCTCCTGCATGCTCCCTACTGCGGATCAAGCCTACAACCCGGGCATGTGCCCTGACCGGAAACGGAACAGGGACCTCTCAGTTCGTGGGAGGACACTCCATCCACTGAGCCACACCGGCGGCGCAGGGCTGGGTGATCTTTAAGATCTCTCCCCGCTCTCCGGTCCTGAGGCCCTTTCAGAGAAAGAGTACATGGGTAGGAGCTTAATTTTTTTTACTTGCATGCCCTTATTATTTTCTTCTCACCATTAGCATATAGCTTTTCCACAAATCTCTTCCTTGACACAAATCTGAACGCTATTTTTGTTGCGGGCCTAGAGTTCCCGTTTCTCTATTGATCTTTGCTATTACGAAGTTTAGCTACTGCCAGCTAGGAGACATTGTAACATTGTGGCGTTGGAGGCAGGCATCCTGTGCACCCGCCCTGGCTCTCCTATGTATTATTTGAGGCACACTGTTTAATCATATCAGTACTCACTGCATTGAATTATGTTAAGGATGGAACGGGACCATGCAGGAGTGCACTCAGCTCAGAACCGAGACAGACTTAGCGTCAACAAACAGGAGCCGCAGCAAGTGCTCACTGCGGCTGCGCCTGGCCGCCCCGTCCCCCGGGTGCAGCTGGAGGGCTCGATGCCGCCTGTACCTCGCAAGGACCCCATTTCAATCTGGGACATTGCTTCTGTCTTCTTCCCTATCCTCTCAAGAAAAATGTGAGAATTCCTCATTGCACCTGAAAAAAATATGTAGGGGTGTGTTCCCTCTTTTCTTCGCACAGGTTTTTTCAAGTATGAGGCTGACTGAAAATCGAGTCTTTCTTTTTCCTTCCAAACAACTTGCTCTGGCTGAGAAGGAGGTGCTATTTTTAAGACTGGCATTTCCCTTCTTTTAGAGTGAGATAAACCAAAAATCACTCTTTTCGTTGTGACACGGACGAGGGTCCCACAGTCACAGGAGAGGAAGCCTGGTATTATTTTAAAGAGCAGTGGCTTCTTTGTGGAGATTGTTCCCAGGTAGATGGTTTGAGGACCTTTCTGGAGACTTGGATTCCTTTTCAGGATGAGCTCCTACAGCCGGCCTCAGAGCTATTGGGCTAGCAAAGTTTCCCAGTTACTGCTGGTATGACTCTGCTGGCACCAAGGTCTCGTGTAGCTTCTGATTTGGGCCTGAGTCATGGGAAATAGGGTCATTATTTTCAGGGTCATTTGGTTGGTTTACCAAGTGGTTCCAGGGCCCCCCGTTTCGAATTTATTTCCTTCTCCTGGTTTGGAAAGACTTACAGGTGTTCCATCAGACCACTCCCAAGAGTCAGCATTCAGGGGGTTTCTTTTATTAAATCCAATCCAGAACTGCCTTTCCTCTGTCCTGTGAAGAGAAGAAGCAAAAACGTGGCCTTCCCCACTGAATTCACAATATTATGAAAAAGGCTCAAGTCAGTTTTTAAAGGTGCAGGAAATAGCTGACGCGACTGGCGGGGTTGGTCAAGTCAAACAAACGTGTATTGAGCATCCCCACGTGCAAAACCTGAGGTCTGAAATGAGCTGAGCGGAGATTTAACCCTGTTTCCGATTTTCTTTGGTTGACATTTTGCTACTTGACTATTTATACTACTTCACAATGCTTTGATGTGGGGCTGTTTTGTCACATGCTCATGTATTCTCTGAAGGTTAAGCACCACCACCCATGTTTATTAAAAGGCACACGGCAGGTTTGAGGTTTTTGTTTGGATCCCAATATAAATGTTTCCACAGCGAATCAGCCTGGGGCACAGTGGGTTAGCTTCGGCTGTCCCACCAGGTTAGACTTGGCAAGAAGCCCCAAGTCACCCCACGGAGGACTCAACAGATCAAACAAGAACACCTATTTGTACACTGAGCCATCTCACTAAGACTGTTTTCTGGGATTAATCTTGAAAATCTAAAGGTTTATAAATTCAGAGGTTGTGACAGGTGTTTCTTTTCCTTATGCAGAGACTCCAACCTATTCTGGAGGACACCTTTCTCAGATGTTTGAGCTCCTCTGCCTGACGATACAAAAGGAAGTGAAATGTGACTTAGAAAACCTGAGAGATCACGGGGCGCGGCTGGTCACTGCCTTGCGTTCAAGGCGTGGAAGGCGAGAGTGCTGCCTCCCGGTTCCGCGGCCGCCTCAGTCTCCACGTGCAGGCTGGAGATCACCCTCTGGGATGGAGGACTTTACTCCTCTCCTCACTACATTCAGCAATCTACAGTTTTCCTGCTATATTCTGGCTCCTAGAGAAACTGGTCTTTATTGTCTCTCCATCAATTTCCTACAATCGTAAAATTTCTAATAATGTCATAATATAGAAATAAAATAGAAATAGAAAAACAGTGCCACGGGAAGGCGAGGTATGTATGCTAACTTTGAGAACTGGTTTATTTGCTGTAACGAAGCATCAGATTTCGCTGAACTCCTTGGCAGGCAGGGCAAAAGGAAAACATACATTATAAAGCTTTTGTGATTAGGTAATGAAAATCAATAACTTGCTAGATGCTTCACACTGAATTAGCTAGAAATTCCAAGCATGAGAACTTAGGTAAATAGAAATGACCTTTGATCTTACAGCAAACGTGGGAACAATTTGCATGTGGTTGTTTCCTACAGCAAAGCCCACTGTATATAAACATGCAAGTGAATTTTGCAAGTGGCTCAAGTCATGAAGCGCGGTTACAACTTAGAACAACAGAGATGATCACATATCCCTTGGATCTGTGGCCCCGACCCTGGCTAACAGCTCAGTTAACCAGGAAGCTTCTTGAACTTTTCTTCAGTCTCAGAGAATCTGAGACCGGAAGGCTCTGTGTGAAAAGGTATCCTGAGAGCGTGATCATCAGCAGGTTTGGGATCCTAGGCTCAGGTCAGTGTTTCCTGCAGAGACTAGGGATTCTATGGGATGTTGATAAGTGTTCTAAAAAAAAAGAGTTTTGTGGTCAGAGGAAGTGCTTCCGTCTAGAAGTCTTTATAATATTAAAGTATGTGGCACATTTCCAAGATTGTACATTGCTTTGCAAACATATTTGACCACAGGATCTGCCTACTTCCCCCACAGAGTATTTTATAAGACACACATTGAGGAGATAGTACCAGACTCCCCTTTTAAGGTCATTTTTGTAGATTTTGGAGATGGATAATTTGATAGATGTTACATATTAACTTTCCTTCGGCAGCAATTTTCAAACTTTTTCAGCTCACAGCACACATAAACGAATGACTAAAATTTTGCGGCTCACCAAAAAATATATTTTTTTGCAGATGTGACCCAAAAAAAGGTATAATTTTCTTTAAAAAATTGTTTTTTCTTCATTGATTTTAGAAAGAGAGAGGAAGGGTGAGGGAGAGAGAGATAGAAACATCGATGTGAGAGAACATTGATTGGCTGCCTCCTGCATGTCCCCCACTGGGGATCAGGCCCACAACCTGGGCATGTGCCCCGACTGGGAATCAAACCGGCGACCGCTCAGTGCATAGGTCGATGCTCAACCACTGAGCCACACCGACTGGATAAAAAAAAGGTATAATTTTCATTCATTCACACTGGATGGCTATTGTGTTGGCTGTCGTTATTTTTAAATTTCACAATCTGAGGGAAAAGAGGTCAGTGCCCCTGACTGAACAGTCAGGTAATGCATGTTTTAACAATTCTTGTGGCTCACCAGTGTGCCACAGTTGAAAACTGCTGTCTTACAGGATTGTCCCAAAGGAAACTTACAAGGAAGGTTAGGATTTTCCTCAAAAAACAGTTCTGGATTTACTCTGAGATTCAGGCAAGTGTTTCATAGAACCTCCAGATTCCAGAACTTGTAGCAGAGTAGCTGGTCTTACATTTGTTTTCATTAAATAAATGTACGAAGCTATGGAGGGGTGACCTCTAGTTTACAACATCCTCGGGCAGGATTCTGTCTGTCACACCCATTGGAATTGTTTGTCTGCTGTGCATAGAACAGTGCCTCTTTCGTAAAAAATATGCCCGAAAGGGATGCTGACTGACAAGAACATTCTAGAGAGAGGCCAAGAGCTGGGAAGACTTACTCTCAGAGGACATGGTGACTGTCTTCAAATATTTGAAAATAGATTAGACTTGACCTATATTGCTCTGGCTTACTAGAAAGTTCTTTTTTTTTTTTTATCCTCACCTGAGGACATTTTTTAATTTTTTGTTCAGATAGAGTGGAGGGAAAGGGAAGAGGAGAGAGAAACATCGACATGAAAGGGACACATTGAGTGGCTGCCACCTGCACGACCCATCCAGGGCCGGGGACAAACTGCAACAGAGGTACGTGCCCTTAGTGGGAACCGAACCGGGGTCTCTCTGGACCTCAGGCTGACTCTCTAACCGCTGAGCCAAACTGGCCAGGGCGAAAGTTGTTCTTTGAAACCAGCCTTTGCGGTGGGATAAATGGTGCGGGAAGGAGACTTGACTTGGGGTGGTAAACACACAGTACCACAGATGATGCATTGTAGAATTGCATACCTGAAACCTATATAATTTTATTAACCAGTCACCCCAATAAATTCAGTTTGAAAACAAGAACAAACCCAGCCTTTAAACATGAAATGGCTTCTTTCTGCCAAGTAAGGCGCACTCTGCAGCAGAGGGGAGGCACGCAGGCAGTGGATGACCCGGGATGGAGTAGAAGGACTTCCCGCAGGTGGGTGGGAGATATCTCAAGATCACATGCTTTTTCCTATTTAAACTTAACTGACTTTCTAACTCTACGGAATTCAAGATTCTGTAAATTTGCAAGATGGATGCAGATAAGTGAACATGTTTCCTCAAATGTAAAAAAAAAGGGAGATTTGGACTAGAATTTTTAAACCAGTGGGACTTTGATTATTTTTCAAACAAATCTTACATGCACTTAATTATATACAAAGTAACTAGAAATTGAGCTGGTTGGAGCTGCTCTGCTGAGTCAGTGACAAGGAACCAGGAGTTCTGCCTGCTTGGCCCCTTCCTGCTCCTGGGATTCCAGGACCCTCGGGGCCTCAGTCAGCACTTGGAAAACCACTGGACTGGAAAACTTCTGAGTTTGGCAGAAAAGCACTGAAATTCTGATTTTAGGCACACAAAAATATGTAAAATATCTAAACAATGTCACTTCTTTCTTTGTTTTATGGTATGAGAAGTTGGTGTAATATAAGTATAAAATTATAGGTATATATTTTTCTTTTATAACCAGCGGCTAGTGCGTTTTAGGCTTAAAACAAATACTCGAGATTTTAAACAAATATTAGGGATACTCATTCCTAAGTAGCCATTACTGGGAGACAAAATATTTTACTGTAATTTTCCAAAATTAACGAGTATTTACCGATTAAATTTTGAATGTAAAAGCTTATTCACAAAATTCTCTTCCTCGATATGGGCAAAGCTTGCAAGATGAGCTCCAAATTCTTCACAAAAAGCTTCAGCTTCTCTCCATGTTCTTTTCATCAGTACTTTTTCACTATGAAATACCTGCATAGTAAAAGAAAAAAGGGTTGACACCGTCACAGATGAGGCAAGGCTATTTGATTCTGGACAAGAAAATGATAGTAATATAATTGTTGTCATTAGTCTTTATTCAAAGCTTGACCCAGTAGGGAGAAATAACACTTTTTGAACTAGCATGTGTCTATCGTAAAACTAGTATCTCATTTTATCCTCACAACAACTTTATGAGAATACAATAAACTTTTATCAATGAGCTCCTTGAGAATTCTTTTTTTTCTCCTAAAGTTCTTGTGACTTGTTCCTTAATAAATGTTTGTCAAGAAATGAGGAGAGTCAGGGTAAGACAGGTTACAAATGTCAGGCCACACAGCTATAAAGGGGCAGAGCTAGGATTAGACTCAACACTCCTTGCTTCCAGAGCCCAGAATTTCTGTCCCGTCAGATTGCCTCTGACAAATTAGAATTGGCTGAAAGATCATGAACCTGGCTGACCTATGGCAAGAAATGAGAAATGAGACCTGGGACCTAGGGCAAGTATATTTCTAGGGTCTCTGGTCTTGGCTGTGCCTAAATTCTCTTCTGTTTCTCGGCTGTCCTGTTTTTCAGCAGTCCTCACAGTAGCAGGAAGAAGTCTGTCAAATGGAGGGTCTGCTTTGGATTTTATTTAAGATCAAGGAGGAGGCACTGAAGACCCAGAGCTCTGGATCCCCTGCCTCTGCAACTGTCCAACACTAAGCCTGAGCCCCTGGTGCCAGCTGACCAGGCTCTGATTTGCTGAGACCAGAATGAATAGGTTTCCCAGTCCTGTGGACCATAGCACAGCCTTTCCATCTTTTAAATTATATGTTAAAACTTGCCTCCTTTGGGAACCTTTTCTCAAATCATTTTATTATTAAAAAAAATTTTTTTTCCTTTATCGATCTTTAGAGAGAGAAGAAGGGAGAGGGAGAGAGAGACAGAAACATCGATGAGAGAGAACATCAATTGGCTGCCTCCAGCATGCCCCTTGACTGGGGATTTGGCCCACAACCTGGGCATGTGCCCTGACCGGGAATCAAACCGGCAACCTCTTGGTGCACGGGCTGGTACTCAACCACTGAGCCACACCGGCCGGGCTCTCAAATCACTTTAAATTACTAAATCCTATGACCATGCCCATCAAACACATCATAAGTTTGTTGATATTAGGACGATATATAGTAGAAAAAGTGCTGGACTAGGGGTTCCAAGATCAGGGATTTATTCCAACTCCATCAATAAATAGTTGTGATCGTGGGTAAATCACTTTGTAGCCTCAGCTTACCCATTTCTAAGGTTTAATTTATTGCTCCATGAGGTCACTTCTGGGCCTATTATTCCATGAACTGGATGTAGGGTTATACACATGGATATTTAAATTGAGCGCATCCACAGGTGTTTCATGCCATCTATAAATATGCACTGTCTCTAGAGACAGAGGCCATCTTCATTGTGCACTGCCTATGCCCATACACCAGAGAACTTTCTCCCTTGATTTTGGAAATCTCTATTTATAAAATGAACCAAAGATAAAACCATCAAACAAAAATATCATATTTCAAAAATATGTGTTTCTGACAAGGAGATTGTAAGTACTGATTTAAATCTAAGATCTAAAGCTGCTTTGCAAGACATTTCTTCACACATTTACTTACACATACACATACATGTCAGCCATATGTATTAATTTGTTTGATCTCCAGGTGTCTGGCAAGCTGCAAATGCTTATCAGCAGAATGGTAGTATAATATTTCATAATGAGGACTTTATTAATTTGCACATGATATGGAATTACACTACTTTCATACCCAGAACAATATTGACTGGGGTCCTGATATCAATCCTCATGAGGAGGACTTCAGTGTCACCAGGGGTATGTCATTCTTTTGACTTAAAAATTATTCTGGAGTATAACTGAAATGATAGAGACAGTTAACAAATATTAATTAAGCACCTCTGTGTGCCAGACACTGTTCTGGAATAAAGAACTGGGGATAGCCCTGGCCAGTTTTGCTCAGTGGTTAGAGCGTTGGCCTGCGGTCCGGAGAGACCCGGGTTCGGTTCCCGCTAAGGGCACATACCTCGGTTGCAGTTTGTCCCCGGCCCTCATTGGGTCATGTGGGTGGCAGCCACTCGATGTGTCCCTTTCACGTCGATGTTTCTCTCTCTCTCTCCCTCCCACTCTATCTGTACAAAAAATGGAAAAATGTCCTCGGGTGAGGATAAAAAAAAAAAAAGAACTGGGGATACATGGACAACACTGGAAGATGTTGGTGCAATTGAGAATGCCCATGTAACCTCGATGTCACCTTGAAGCAGCTGGCCAGGCCTGGCTCTGACTCCCAGTCCAAATAGCAGGGGTGGAAGGGCCATCTCTCTTCATGTTCAGTTTTCTCCCAGGCTCCCACTGCTTGCTTGCACAGGGACATTGCTTTAAAGTGTGTACAGTTCTTCACCTCCCAGCGGCCAGGTGGACTCCTTCCCCGCATGACGACACAGCCACCACTGTAGCCTGACAGCAGAAAACAACACTGTTAATACCAACTGACTAGAACATTCTGTGCTCAGAAGACCTCTTTAGAGTGCTGAATAATTGACATCTTAAAATGAAGTACCCAGACCAGAACAGTAAAGGTGAAAAAGGATGCTCTATTGGCATAATTATCTCATTTCTCATCCACTCTGGAGAAAAGAATAGAAGATGGAAAAGTGAGAGAAGAGAGTCTGTGAAGCTTGAAATATGGACATTTTGAGCTCAGATGGCAAATGGTAGAAAACTAGGAGCTGTTCCAACTTGAAACTGAAATATCTTCCATATCTCATCAAATACCAACATCCCTCGACTTTGAATTATTGAGCTTTTTAACTGTACAGAACAAAGTTTAACTCACCATTTCTTGAGTGTGTATGCATGTTATGCTTTGACATTCCACTGTGAAAAATCAATGATGAAAAACACAAAGTATGTATCCTCTGAGAAGTAGATTGAGCAGGAATAAATACGTGCGGGATGGATATTTGCAAGGGACACAACAGAAAACCAAACTGTCAACCATGGTAGAGTGAAGAGAATGACATAGATTCTATAACGGGATGAAATGCTGGGGCAGGAGTAGGACAGACTTCAGGAAAAGGGGGTAGACTTTCTAGCTATGGACAAAACTCCATTTTATTCTTTTCTATTTGTTTGAATATATTAAAAAATAAAACATTTTTTTTCATAGAAACAACTAAGTTAAGATCCTCAAATTTGTCATCAAATCTATACAACTCATAAGACAGTGTAAAAGTACACTTCACATCTCACTGCATAGTAGAAAATAATCCCATTCCAAAAATAGAATAAAAACTGAAAAAGAATGAGCTGTTTTCTTGAATCTAGAGTAAGCACCTAATTAATTAAATCAACATTCAACAACAACAGGAAAATGGTACCTCTACATGTATATACCAGGCTGGGCTGTGCATAAGCTGTTATGGTCAGAAGGACAACACAAAACAAAACCAAGAAAACCCACCTCTCAAATGAGTGCAAGGCACAGATGCATAAACGCGTAATTGCAGTCAACGTAATGTATGCAATGCATTATGTGTTTGTGTTCAGCTTTCTGTGAGAGACTTCCAAAGGATGACAGAGTCTGCCTCAGGATATCAGTAATGGATTGGCAGGAAGTAACATCTGAGCTGAGCTTTGAAGGATGAGAAAGAGAAAAGAGTTTTCAAGGGGTGCTTATAAAAAAGCAAGTGATTATAGATGAAGCATCCAAAGACTTGTGATGATTCTGGACCTAAAGGCACTTTAAAAATGTAGTCACTCAGTACTAGATATTTGTCTTGCTTAATTTCCCTTTGGAAGTAATGGTTTTAATTTTTTTTAGATACAGGGCAACTGGCATTATATTTGTCAGCTATGGTTTGGTTGTTTCATGCTGACAGAAAGACTAAAGAGATGGAAAATGAAGAGTGAGAGAGGAAAAAAAGATAGACAAGATGTACAAAGAACGTCTCTGAAAGGAATGGAAGAATGTAAAATAGAGAAAGAATAAGGAGCTGAAAAATGACTATTTGTGTCTTCAACAATCCTGGGTGCACACTGGGTAGCACAGTGACAAGATAGTCCCACCCAAAAGAAGCTCACAGTCCTGTGTGTGTGTGCGCGCACGGATGCATCAAAGAGACTCACAAAGGTGAAAATGACTCGTCGTGAACAAGGACACATAATTAGTATGACTTACATAGAAGAAAAGCAAGTCAAGAGAGGGTTGATCCATAGAAAGTCCATTAGTCAGTTCTGTTGACCAGAACAGCTAGTTAGTGTTAAAGAAAGAGGGTTGGGGGCCAGAAAAGGGGGAGAGATCATAGCATGCAACCAGAACCCCCATGTATGGAGCTTTGCAGTCTTGTCGATTGTAATTTCAAAATGCAGCTCATAGTCTTGCAGGATCATGAACAACAAAGGAGATGCACCATGCTCTCTGTGATGAAATGCTAATGAAACTGAACTGTGGAAATCCATGTGGATGCTCAAAGTAATATCCTAATAAGGCACTTTCACTTGGTTCCTCCATCCTTCCTTTCCCAGCAGCCTCTGACTTGGAGCCAGAGGTCTGGGGTACTAGTGCCAGCACAAATATTTAGTAACTCAAAGCTTGAACAGGCTATATTAATCACAAAAAGCTTATCTAAAATATGGGGATAATAATCCCTTTTCTCCTCATGGGTTTGAATGAAAATCAAATGAAATGATGTATTAAAAGGCACCCTGGGAGATATACAGGGCTACAACCACCCCTAAAGGGTTGCTTCTATTCTTATTTTGGCTGTTTTCATGATAGAAGCCGGGGTTTTTGTGGCACGAGTTCTGCCTGCAGGTTCAAAGAATTTTTATAAAGTTTGAATCAGCAAGTTTAAAATCTAATGTACTTCTTTTGTTGGTCTTGCATTTTGTCTTACTTTCCCACAGCAGACAATGATGAAATAGCTTTGGTTTTGGATCCTATAGATATTCCACTCATCTTCATTAGCGGGGAAGGAGACGTTTGTGAGCGGCGGTGAAGGTGAGAAGTGCTGCAGGAGGGATATTGCTAGTCTACAGTGGCTAACTGAAGGGAACATTTGACCCGAGCTGTAGAATCTCAGCCCCAAAGAAGCAGTAAAGTGGTGTAATAAAGGGAGGCTGGGCTAAGGGAGATATAAACCGAATTTATAATCATATATCGTGGGGATGCTTGCGAAGCCAAATAATAAGGTAGGGTGTGGGAAGAGCAGAGGTGGTTTGTCTCAGAGAAATTATGCTCAAATTCGATAACTCATTTTCTTCTCCCCTTGGAGAAGAAAAATTGTCATCCTATTCCGCAGCAGTGAAGCTCATATTTAAAGGAATTCTCCTTACCTGTGTTACTCGACCTCTCCCTGCCCTCCGCCCCCCACCCCCACTGTCTCCTCAAACACGAGTGGAAAAACTTTCAGTCAACTAAGAAATTCCAGTTCACTACTGTATCTCTTCCACTTGGCAACGCTATCTGTCCAACCACATAGGATGAACTGAGCTGGGAAAGCCTTCCTCCTCTTGGGTCAAATACCTAAAAACAAACACGATCTACTTGTGGCCCAGGGCCAGGGGGAGCTGGAGGGGGGCCTTCTCCATGGAGAGAAGTGAAGCTATGGAGGCAGGGAAGGGGAGCTTCCCCGAGAGCTGTCGGCCTGCCGTCCGGTACGCCGCTCGGCATGTGGCCCGTTCCCTGTAGAGCTTCAAAACTATTTCAGGCAGATATTAGCATTTGCAGTTTGCAAATGGAAAACAGAGGCACAGAGGCTTAGTAACTTGCCCAAGTCCACACAGTCAGTGAAGGTTTGATCTAAAATTTGAAAGCAGATTCATTTGATTCGACGATGAGACAGTGTTAAGGTACAGAGTAGGCAGGCGTTCGATAAGCAGTTGTTGAATGAGTGACTGAATCTTCCCCTCCAGTAATTTGCCTCCATTTCCACGGAGCTCCCTTTCCTCAACCTGGTCATGTTCTCTCCTTGGTGTGGCGACAGCATCTTTACCTTGTATGACAGTTACTCATAGGATTACGTAAAGCACCAAAGGGTGCTCAGATTGAGTCTGTGCTCATTTATGTGGTGGTCATTTCAGAGCGCTGATGAGCCTTACAGTGGCTCAGCTCGTCTATCCACTGGCTGGACAGGTTTCTTACTACTCCTGCCCCTGCGCAGGACACTTCCAAGAAAACAGATCGGACTTGCTTTCCTGGGATCCCCTTTTCCTTTTTGCTGGCAGATTTCCACTGACTTGGGACAACTGGGGTTACGTGCCCTGCAGTTATCCCACGTGAGTGAAATAGGCCTTTTCTGCGGTGGTATTTAGATCTAGAAACATAAAATTTTTGTCACAGAGCCCGGGTTTTAGATGGATGCAAAGTAGTGATTTTAAAGTGTTTCTTGAGAACCCACTCTATGGGAGAGCATAATTGCCAACGATACATCAGATAAGGGGTTAATTTCCAAAATATATAGAGTGCTCATACAACTCAACAAAAGGAAGACAAAGAACCCAATTAAAAAATGGGCAGAGGACCTAAAGAGACACCTCTCCAAACAGGACACACAAATGACCAAGACACATATGAAGAAATGCTCAACATCACTAATCATCAGAGAGATGCAAATTAAAACAACAATGAGGTATCACCTCACACCTGTCAGAATGGCCGCCATCAACAAATCATGAAACTACAAGTGTTGGCGAGGGTGTGGAGAAAAGGGGACTCTAGTACACTGCTGGTGAGAATGCAGACTGGTGCAGTCACTATGGAAAACAATATGGTGTTTCTTCAAAAAATTAAAAATTGAACTGCCATCTGACCCAGTGACCCCACTTTTAGGAATATACCCTAAGAAGCCTGAAACACCAATCAGAAAGAATATATGTACCCCCATGTTCATAGCAGTACTATTTACAGTCGCTAAGATCTGGAAACAGCCCAGCTGGTGTGGCTCAGTAGCTGAGCCTCGACCCATGCACCAGAAGGTCACCGGTTCAATTCCTGGTCAGGGCACATGCCCAGGTTGTGGGCCAAATCCCCAATGGGGAGCATGCAGGAGATGGCCAATTGATGGTTTCTCTCATCGATGTTTCTATCTCTTTCTCCATCTCCCTTTCTCTCTCTAGAATCAATAAAGAAAAAAAGTTAAAAATATATTAAAAAAAAAAAAAAGATCTGGAAACAGCCCAAGTGTCCATCAATAGATGAGTGAATAAAAAAGCTGTGGTACATATACACAATGGAGTACTATGCAGCTGTAAGATAGAAAGATCTCTTATCCTTTGAGACAACATGGAAGGACCTGGAAAGTATTATGCTAAGCAAAATAAGGCAATCAGAGAAAAACAAATATCACATGATCTCACTTATTTGTGGAATATAATGAACAAAACGTGCTGATAAACAAAATAGACCCAGAGACATAGAAGTAGGGAACAGACTGACAAACCTCAGAAGAGGGGGA